TGCGCGTATGGTCACCCCTCCCTTCCGCCCTGTTGTTTTGGATGCCCCGCTCCGAGAAAGCATGTCTCGCAGCTGCGAGAAAAGACCTTCTCGGGTCCGAGGGCCGCCTCAACTGGAGTAGGGAAATTTGGATTTTGGTCAAACGCCTGCTGGGGGCAGCTTCGCGGAAGTATTCCGGAAGCCAGATGATCCCACTTGTCAACAGCAGGCGCCAGCGCCAATCAAATCTCCCTAGTGATGTTGACAACGGGCAAGTCGAGATGGGCAATCTGACCATGAGTCGTTCATCAGGGGATGAACTCCACGTAGTAGTTAATGGATTCCGATCGGCCAACCGTCTCGCGACAGAGCCACCGAAGAACAGTGGGAGGGCTTTACCGACCCGACTCGGCTAAGCCGTCGGTGCCCGCCGCCCCCGCACGCCCATAGGACGACGATGACGACAGCAGGAGCTCGGCGCGAGCCGATTTAACTCCCGCCCCATTGTTGTAAGGTGCGTATGGCTCGGAACGTGAAGCGATGTAGTAGCTCGAATTGGCGTGAACACCGGCTTGCTGCGCGGCGGGTCAACCCCATTATGCGCAGTCATCCGGAATTCACCCAATCGTTGAGCTGAGTTGCCCCGAGGACGGTAGGATGCCGTGTCAAGGCCCAGCTGGGCGCTAGGCGCCCTGCCGCACTGGCGCAGGGCGCGACGGCAGTGGCGGCGGTTTGTGCTGACGGCGGCAGCGTTTCGAAGCGGGAGCGACGGGCCACTGTCAGGACAAATCGTCGGGCGCCAGGCAAAATGCGGGCGCGCTGCCGCCGCGGCGCGAACGAGCCCGAGCGAGGCGCGCGCCAGCGCCGCTCGCCGAGCCGCCGTCGGCGGTAGCGGACCGCGCCAGAGACTGGCCGGCGAGCGAGCGCGGTCGACGAAGAGGTGAAGCGCTTGCGACAGCAGGATGAACTGGCGGGCCAGATCGTCGGGCGCCAGGCAATGCGGGCGCGCTGCCGCCGCGGCGCAGACGTCGGCGGCGAGGAGCTCGAGCGCCCCCAGCGTGTTAGCGAAGCGAAGCCAGCGTGCCATGGTTGCCGACGGCTCACCTATAGGTGTATATTACAGAGCCATCACCGAGGCTGGCTGGAATTTTAGAGCCATCACCTTGGGCTGGTCCGGTATTTGGGAGCCGGAGTCGTCACCCAGGTAGGAGCTCCGATGGAAGGTATTTTAAGGACAGTCACCCAGTCCGATGGAAGGTAGTTTATCGCCGTCACCCAGGCGCAGGATGCTTTACGCCGCATTCCCGGCGACCTTCCATGTGGGCCAGCTCCGTGGGCCAGCTCCGTGGGCCAGCCTCCGTGGGCCAGCTCCGTGGGCCAGCTCCGTGGGCCAGCTCCGGAAGGTAACCGTCTGCCCAAGGCGGTGCCTCTCTGCGTCCGTCGCGTTCGGCGCCGGTGCCAGTGAGCGTCCGCAGGTTCCTCGCGCGTCCGGCTGGCCGGTGCCGCGAGCGTCCCAAAGTGGTACCTTGCAGGCCCGGCTTCTAGGCGCCACAGCATTGGGCTTTAGGCGCCACAGCCTGACTGTGCAAGCTTCCGAGCAGACGGGTTTGGATGCTTTGCGCCGCATTCCTGGCGACCCGCCAAGAGCCTCCAGGGAGACGGCGGGTGGGTGGCTGAGCCGGCTCGGCTTCTAGGCGCCACAGCATTAGGCTTTAGGCGCCACAGCCTGAGCCCCGCCGGCGGTGAGGGTCCACCAGACGGGTACCAGCTGCCGGGGTGGCGACGGGGGGCACCGCCGCCAGGGCGGCGGGGCGCAGCGCAAAACCGCCACGCCGCCGCCGAGCATGCCGCAGCAGCGGACCGCGCCCAGCCTCTGGGCGCCACAGCATTGGGCTTTAGGCGCCCAGTCTGGGCCCCGCCGACGGTGAGGGGTCCGCCAGACGGGTGCCAGTTGCCGGGGCGGCGACGGGGTGCACTGCCGCCACGACCCGCCGAGATGCCTTGTCGCTATCAGGCGCAAAATCGCCACGCCGCCGCCGAGCATGCCGCAGCAGCGGACCGCGCCCAGCCTCTGGGCGCCACAGCATTAGGCTTTAGGCGCCACAGTCTGAGCCCCGCCGACGGTGAGAAGTCCACCAGGCGGGTGCCAGTCGCCGGGGCGGCGACGGGGTGCACTGCCGCCACGGCGGAGGGGCGCAACGCAAACCGCCACGCCGCTGCCGAGCGCGTCGTGGCTCGGCTGGCAGCGCGCGTCGCAGAGGGCAAGAGGCGAGCGCGCCCCACCGCAGCGAGAGGCGCTGTCGGGCCCACCAGAACAGGCGCCGGGACAGCGACAGGGCGCACCGCCGCACGGCGGCGGAGCGCAACGCGAGCCGTCCTCGCTAAAGACCGCCGCCTCCGCGGAGTCAGGCAGCACCGACCCAAGCCCCGCGATGAAGGCGATCATCAGCAGCGTGCGGAGGAAGTCCTCGCTAAAGACCCCCGCCTCCGCGGAGTCAGGCAGCACCGACCCAAGCCCCGCGATGAAGGCGATCATCAGCAGCGTGCGGAGGAAGTCCTCGCTAAAGACCGCCGCCTCCGCGGAGTCAGGCAGCACCGACCCAAGCCCCGCGATGAAGGCGATCATCAGCAGCGTGCGGAGGAAGTCCTCGCTAAAGACCGCCGCCTCCGCGGAGTCAGGCAGCACCGACCCAAGCCCCGCGATGAAGGCGATCATCAGCAGCGTGCGACCACACCGCCGCTGAGCGCGTCGTGGCAGCCGAAGGCGCCGCGGCTCGGCTGGCGACGCAAAGGAAGAGGCGAGCGCGCTTCACCGGCGGCGAGAGGCGCTGCCGGGCCCAGCAAATATGTGCGCCAGGACAGCGACGGGGCGCACCGCCGCCACGGCGGCAGGGCGCAACACGGAGCTGCCACGCCGCCGCCGAGCACGTCGCGGCGGCGAGCCGCGCCGCGGCTCGGCCGGCAGCGCGCGCCGCCGAGGGGTGGAGGCGGGCGCGCCCCACCGGCTGCGGGAGGGAGGACTGTCAGGCCCAACAGGTGGGCGCCAAGACAGCAACGGGGCGTACCGCCGCCACGGCGGCGGAGCGCAACGCAAGCCGCCACGCCGCCGCCGTCGAACGCGCACTGGCACAAGATCGCGCCGCGGCCCAGCCGGCAGCGCGCGTCGCCGAAGGGGAGAGGCGAGCGCGCCCCACCGACGGTGAGTGGCGCTGTCGGGCCCACCAAAACAGGCGCTGGGACAGCGACAGGGCGCACCGCCGCAACGGCGGCGGAGCACAACGCGAGCCGCCACGCCGCTGCTGATCGCGTCGTGGCAGCCACAGGCGCCGCGGCTCGGCCGGCGCGCGTGTCGCCAAAGGAAGAGGCGAGCGCGCTTCACCGGCGGCGAGAGGCGCTGCCGGGCCCAGCAGATATGTGCGCCAGGACAGCGACGGGGCGCACCGCCGCCACGGTGGCAGGGCGCAACGCAGAGCTGCCACGCCGCCGCTGAGCACGCCGCGGCGGCGAGCCGCGCCGCGGCTCGGCCGGCAGCGCGCGTCGCCGAGGGGAGAAGGCGAGTGCGCCCCACCGACGGCGGGAGGAACTATCAGGCCTTAGGACAGTAACGGGGCGTACCGCCGCCACGGCGGCGGAGCGCAACGAGAGCCGCCACGCCGCCGCCGAGCACGCCGCGGGAAGCTCGAACGGCGTGTCGTGCATGGCGCGGCGGGACGGATGATTTAACGCCTCACCCAGGCGGGGACTGAGAACAGTAGCGGGGCGCCGGGGGCGAGCAGGTAGAGGCGCTTATCCTCGACGCTGCGGCGGCCAGCGTCGCCGCGCAAGTAGGTCGCCGCATCGCGCGCCTCCTCCAGCCACTGCGGCCCCGCAACGTTGGGGGCGCAGAGCGAAGGGGGCAGCGCGCCCTCCAGCGCGAGCACGTAGTCCTTAAAATAGCTCGCCAGTAGTTGCGGGTTAGCACTCGGGGGGAGGCCGTACGCGGAGACAGCCGCTGGCGAGAAGGTAGGGCCGCGCGCGCAGCCGCCGCCGGCCTCGCCGCAGACGCCGCGGCGCTGGCTCGGCGAGGCGCCCCGCGCTGCGCATGAGCAGCATCCCCCGCCAGCGCGGCCGCGGCGGCGAGGCCCCCCACCGGGAGGAGATCGGGCTCTTTCACCTCCAGCGCCGCTGGCGACACATCGAGGCGGTCGATCGCCAGCTGTAGTGCAGCCGAAGAGGAGAAGGGGGCCGCGTCGAGGAGCCCGCACGTGAGCAGCTCGTTCAGGAAGCGAACCCACGCGGTTCCGGTGAGAGCGAGGTCCAGCGGGCAGACCATCGGGGCGGGAGTACCGGCGGGGGGCGCCGCGAGGCGCAGCCGCCGGCCAAAGACGCGCAGCATCGCGTGGTGCGCAAGCTGCACGCGCGCTGCTCCGCTCGGCGCAGCCGCAACCGGCCCCCAGCGGAGGACGGCAGTAGCCACCACCAGCGGGTGGGCAGCGGGGCCCTGGACGGGGGCGTCGGGCCCCGCGTGAACGCAGTGCAGATCAATCGGCGGTACTGCCGCGGCCATCGCGCCCGACAGGGGCCGAGCGCGGCTCGCAGAAGCTCTCTTTATTCCCTAGTTCAAGCAAAGAAGGGGAGGGAGAGAGCGACGCGGCGAGCGCAGGCGGCGAGCGTGCACGTCGCCTGTGCGGCGTCTTGTTCACTCCCCTTTGAGCTACCTTTGTGCCCCCTTAGGGGCACCCCTCCTGCGCTGCGCGTATGGTCACCCCTCCCTTCCGCCCTGTTGTTTTGGATGCCCCGCTCCGAGAAAGCATGTCTCGCAGCTGCGAGAAAAGACCATTTAGGCTAGAGCCGTTAGGTTGCGTAGAGTCAGTTCGCGTCTTGTCTTTTGTGTGTCGCTACACGCAGATACTAGAAATTACAGTACGAGACAGCACCCCAGCTCTCCGACTCTGTGGGTCTGATCGCAGTCCAGAATACACATACCTTAAGGTACACATATACGCACGCACAGACGCACGAGCTCCGGCACCACAGTTATATCAGTCATCACGGTACTCGAACTGCATCCGCGGCGAAGCAAACTCGGTGGCGACGCCCACCGACGGCTGAAGATTGAGCACTGCGTGTCCCCAAAAGTCCGGCAAGTAGAGTACGTCCCCGGCGCGCTGTTCACAGCGCAGGAGCGTGCGGCCGGCGGAGGCGTAGCGTTTGGGCCCCCCCTCCGCCCAGCGCGCAACGGGCGTGCTGCTGTACGCGGCGTCGCGAGGAGGGGCGAGCCACCACGCCTTTCGGCCGTAGACCAGCGTGTTGAGCGCCGCCTTGTGATAGTGGAGCGGCGCGCCGCTGCGCGCGCCGCCAATCGCGAGCTGCACCGACGCCTCCGACAGCCAGCCGGCGTCGATGTTCCGCGCGAGGAACGGCGGCACATGCGCCGACACCGCGTCGCGAAGCGCGCCGGCGGGCAGCGACTCGAAGTAGTAGAGCGCCTGCAGGACATGACTCGAAAGAGCCTCGGGGGTGTGCCGGAGAGTGTCTCGAGGGCGCCGTGTAAGGCGCGCGCCCTCTCTTCGCCGCCGTCAAGCAGCGTGGCGGTGCCGCCCTTGACCCGCTTCGCAAAGGCGCCGAGGCTCGTCTCCGTCGGAGTCGTGCCGTCGTGGTACGGCACCTCGCTCACCGAGATGGTACGGCTGCCGTGGGCCTTGACCAGCCGCGCGTGGCTCAGCGCGCTGCGCAGCTGCGCCCACCGGTGCGCGGAACCGTTGCGGACCAGCACCGGCCGCTCCGTCGCCAGGAAGCGCCGGCGAAACTCCGCGGGTGTGAGTCTGGCCACGTCGACGACCGCCACGTCGCACTCGGCCCGCCTTTCCGGCTGCTCTCCTTTTCCCCACCCGCCGTGCCCGCCGGTATCGTCCTCGCCGGCCTTGCCGCCGCGCTCGGCTTCCCCTCCGCCACCGCCCCGCCTGACCGCCGGATCGCCCTCGTCGAGTTCGGCCTCGCCGGCGACAACGCCGCACTCCTCGCCGCTCCGCCGCAGCTCCTCGTACCCCTGGGCGTGGCCGTGCGCAGCGGCGAGCTGCAGCGGCGTGCGGCCCGCCGGCGCGCTCGTCGAGAGGAGCTGCCGCCGCCACTCGCGAGCAGGCAGCGCCTCGGCTGCGTCGCGGAGGAGCGAAGGCTCGCCGAGGTGGGCGAGCAGGTGGGCGACGGTGTACCCGCCGCGCACCAGCGTTGCGTCGGCGCCCGCGTCGACGAGCTTCTGCACCGCACGTTGCACGTGCGCGCAGTGGGCGACGAGCCGCACAAGCGCCGCGCGGAGCAGCTCGCCGCCGCCGAGCGCCGCGGCGCGCAGCTCGGCGCTCGCGTCACTCTCGCCGCCGCAGCTTCGCTCCAGCTGGTCAATGTACGCGCCGGGCTGGCGCGAGCGCAGCAGCTGCCGCGCGATGCCGACGGCGTGGACCTCGGCGTGGGTCGCGAGGTGCAGCAGCCCGTACCTGGCCGCAGACGCCACCTGCGCCTTTGTGCCACCGGCGAGCGCCACCCGACGACGAAGCGCCTCGACGTACCAGCCGGAGCCGCGTGACACGTCGCCCACCGTGACGGCCGCCTCAGCCGCGCGGTCCGCCGCCTCGGGTGAAGTCTTGTGCCTGCTCGCCAGCTGCTCCAGCTGCACCACGCCGGCGGGGAGGTGGTCGCTGCCGCCGCCGCCGCCGCTGCGCCCGCTGCTGCTGCTGCTGCTGCTGCGCCCGCTGCTGCTGCTGCTGCTGCTGCTGCTGCTGCTGCGCTTGGCGCCGCGCTTATCGGCCGCCGACGAGGCTTTGGCCGTGTTTGCCGGCGGCGGTGACGACGTTGGCGGCGGTGGCGAAGGTGGCGACGGAGCAAAGCAATGAAACCCAAATGCACACGTAAAGGCGGCAACGGCGACCACAACTGTCACAAGCGGCGCACGGTCTCGTGCTGATGGTGCACGTCTGCGCGCAGGCGAAAGCCTGGCCGGTGGAGGTGTGCGGCTGGCCTTTGCGATGGCGCGTGTACCCCGGGTACAGGGTGACAAGAGTATTTCACGCAAACGAGAGTCTACCCTTATAAGTCTCTTGTGCCGGAGCGCCGACCGCTCTTGAAGCCGCGAACCAGCTCATTCAAACTCGGCCGTCCCGCCGCAAATCGTCGGCCTCAGCTCGGGAGCCACGGCGCGCATGGGGGGCAAGGAGCGAGAGCGCGAACCGCCACCGGCCACCGACGACGAGGATGCGACGCAGGCGACCACGCAGGAAGGCGACCACGCAGGAAGGCGTCGTGCGGGAGTCATCCGGCAAGCGCAGCCGACAGCGCAGCATCACCAGATCACCGCTGGGCTTGCAAGCGGCGCAAAGCGAAGGGCCGCCGCCATGTCGCAAGGGGAGCGGGCGGCGAAACGAATGACCGATCAGCGGCGACGCCGCCATGAGCAGCGTGGGAAATCACAGCCAGCACCGATCACCTTTGACGCTGCGGTGGCAAAGGTCGCGTCGGAGGCAGCTCTCGGCGTGGCGGAGGTTGAGGACTTCCGCGACTGGCTGCTCGACCCACAGCAAGCTGGAAAGCCGATCAACGGTGAACGCATCACCGAGTGGCGCGCCTCCGAAGCGTACGAGCGCGCCCGGCTCGAGTACTTGGACGGTTGCATGTGCGAGGGTGCGTGCACGTGCACCTACGACGGTGTAGGCATCGCCCCAGACGTGCCCGGAGTCACCTGCGACTACTTCGACGAGGCGCTTTTGGAGCCGCGCGACAACGACGGGCAGCCATCAGGCGGGGATTGGGTGCCGGAGGGCTGGGATGGCGTCGAGGCCGATCGGCATGAGGAGCGGGCTAAACTCGAGCGTGCCAAGCGGATTGAGCGAGAGAAGCAAGACGACCTCGCACACGCTTCAGAGAAAATTTGGGTGCAAGATTCTGAGACTGGTGATTGGCGCCTCTCCACCCGTGGCAGCATTGCCAACTTTCGCAACCGCTGTGTACAAGCTTACACGGGCGATGCTGCTGAGGCCGATGCATACCTGCGCGACCCGGGTTCAGAGGCGTCACAGGCATGGCTCGAGGCGCAGCTTGCTCCAGGCGGTGGAGGTCCGACACCGCCTGGCTCGCCCGCCTACGGGGATGACTGTTACTTCTCCCACCCGGACTCGCCAGTGAGGCGGCCACGCGAGGAGGCGCCTGACGACAGCGACGCATATGAACTCGACCAGGAACGCGCGCTGGAGTTGCAGGGGCGCATCTCCTTATTTTACGGCCGGCCTTGGGACGAGGTGCCGAGAGGCGCGACGGTGCCAGTGACTTGCGAGTGGACCATCGCATCATTCAGCCGACAGCAGCAAATGCAACGCCCGCTCTCGCCCGCACCGGTAGCCACGGACTTTGACATTGAGGACAAGTTTCTGCAAGAGCGTGCGCGGTGGTTCCGCGACCACGGCGGTGGCGGCGAGCTGGAGGGCTCGACACGAAAGCAGAACGAGGCATTCCAGCGCTTGAAGGACCGCCTCTTTAGCCTTCGCCGCGACCGCGCGAACCCGTCGGGCACACCGCGTGCCTCGCAACGCCGGGCGTCGGGCGCCGGATCAAGCACCGACCCCCTTTGAGACTGTGGATGATGCCTGGGACTCGAGTCTGGTTGGAATGGAACATCGGAAGAGCTTTGCATTAGCCATTACGAATTATTAATTGCGAAAATGTTACGAGCGAGGTAAATCCGATGCCGTTTGCAGCACTCTCGAACGTCGGTGGAGGGGATAAGGGATAAGTGAGTACCTGTGTGCCAGGAGAAAAAGGCGGGGACCCGCTGCAGGCCCCACACTAGTCTCAAGGAAAAGAAGCAATCTCTGGCCAGAAACCTGCAACCACTGCTGCCAAGAGCGCCGCGACGGAACGGGATATGCTCGGCGTCGACAAGATCCGCCGGCCGGCAGCCGCACGCACCCACCCGCTCGCCAATGCACTCATGCTCGTTCTCGGCGCCGGGCTCGTCTACATCGCAGCGTCGAGGGCCGCCGCAGAGAACGCGACTGCTCTGAAGCCAGAGATTGATGCACTGCATGCCCGGCTGGAGGAGATTGCTCGCCAACAGCAGCGTGCGGACGAGACTGGGAAGGCTGTGCGAGAAGCTGCCCGTGGAATCAGTTCTCTGAATGAGAAGGTCGTCGCCAGCACCGGGCAGCTCGCGGCGCTCGTGCTCTCCGAGTCCCACCACTTTGCGACGGCGTGGGAGGCCATCGCGGCCACGGAGAGGGCGGTCAACGCGAGCGGCGCGTCGGTCGTTGCGATCAGCGCCGCCACGGCCCGGGTAGAGGAGCGGCTCGTCGCTCTGACGAGCGACACCTCCTCGCTCCTTGTCGAGCTGAGGGCCGCCCGGCAGGAGCTGGCGGCGCTTCGCAGCGAGGCCGCGGCCGCGCGTCGGACGCCGGCCATTGCCACCGCATCGACCGCAGGCGAGGAGCCGCAGCATTCGGCCGTAGCATCGGATCCGGCGGCCGAAGCGCCAGAGCCGGCGGCCGTAGCAACGGAGCCCCCGCCGGCCGTGGCGGAGCCAGCGGCGGCGGCGGAGCGGGTGGCGGCGGAGCCGGTGGTGGCGGAGCCGGTGGCCTCAGCTTTGGTGAGCACGACGGCGCTCCCAGCGGTTGGCGGCGCGGCTGAGGTCGCTCCTGCTCCGGTCAGCAGCGTCAGCGAGCCGGGCAGTGTGAGTGTCGCCGAGCCGGGCAGCCTCGCCGACGCCGCGAGCAGCGCCGACGTCAACCCCGCCGACGGTGTAAGCTTCGCGGCCGCGGGCAGCGATGATGTCGACCTCGCCGAGGGCGGCGTCAGCGCGGCTGTCGGCGCTGCCGGCGCCGTCGGCACCTCGGAGGCTGGGCACAGTGCCGCATAGAGGCGAGCCGACTTAGGCCGTTCCAAAAGGCGCAGGGGGGACTCACAGTGGTTGGCAGGGAGGTTTGGTGACGCCGTGCTCTCGTACCTCTCCTCTCGCTGCCGCCGACTAGCATCGGCGTGTATGTGTGGGTATTGTGGGTGGATATGTGCGCGAGATGTGGAGTTGTGCACAAAGCCCAGGGTTCGTGATTTCACATGGAAACAGCGAATCGGTTTCACTTTCACTTTCACTTCACATTTCATGTGAAACGAAATTTCACTTTTTCGAGCGAGTGTGAAGAGTCGTGTGAACGTGAATGATGACGGATGCTCCCACCGAGTTCCGACACTCTCTGACACTCACACTTGCACAGGTGTTGGCTCCCAAGCAGCAGCCAAGATGAAGGAGGCTGGAGATATTGGTCTCGCTGAGCTGATGTGTACACTAGACCTATATGAATCTCATGGCATGCTGTGTGGGCGAATACGGTGCCGATGGTGGGATGAACTCTCTCAGCAGTCGAGAGTCGACTCTCGACGCATCGGGAGGGCGGCGGCGGCGGTGTAGGGGCGGCGGCGAGCTCCCGCGGTTGCAAATACTCGCCTCACAGTCCAAGATGGCGGCTCGCGCCCCCATCCGTGCACCAGCGTGCCTCTCTAGCCCCGCCTGCCGCCCAGATACCGAGGGCGGGGCGCACTCTTCGACTTGGGCTATTATTTGCCACCGGGAGGGCGGCGGCGGCGGTGTAGGGGCGGCGGCGAGCTCCCGCGGTTGCAAATACTCGCCTCACAGTCCAAGATGGCGGCTCGCGCCCCCATCCGCGCACCAGTGTGCCACTCTAGCCCCGCCTGCCGCCCAGATACCGAGGGCGGGGCGCACTCTTCGACTCGGGCTATTATTTGCCACCGGGAGGGCGGCGGCGGCGGTGTAGGGGCGGCGGCGAGCTCCCGCGGTTGCAAATACTCGCCTCACAGTCCAAGATGGCGGCTCGCGCCCCCATCCGCGCACCAGTGTGCCACTCTAGCCCCGCCTGCCGCCCAGATACCGAGGGCGGGGCGCACTCTTCGACTCGGGCTATTATTTGCCACCGGGAGGGCGGCGGCGGCGGTGTAGGGGCGGCGGCGAGCTCCCGCGGTTGCAAATACTCGCCTCACAGTCCAAGATGGCGGCTCGCGCCCCCATCCGTGCACCAGTGTGCCTCTCTAGCCCCGCCTGCCGCCCAGATACCGAGGGCGGGGCGCACTCTTCGACTTGGGCTATTATTTGCCACCGGGAGGGCGGCGGCGGCGGTGTAGGGGCGGCGGCGAGCTCCCGCGGTTGCAAATACCGCCTCACAGTCCAAGATGGCGGCTCGCGCCCCCATCCGTGCACCAGCGTGCCTCTCTAGCCCCGCCTGCCGCCCAGATACCGAGGGCGGGGCGCACTCTTCGACTTGGGCTATTATTTGCCACCGGGAGGGCGGCGGCGGCGGTGTAGGGGCGGCGGCGAGCTCCCGCGGTTGCAAATACTCGCCTCACAGTCCAAGATGGCGGCTCACACGCCCAACCATGCTCTGGTGCGTCGCTTGGGTCGCGTCTGCTGCCCGTGTCTCTGTCTTATCGGCACGACGACAACAAGCTACCCCTAACCCTAACCCTAACCCTAACCCATACCCTAACCCTAACCCGAGCCCGAAGAACCCAAAGCATTCACCGAGAGCTCGTGTCGACGGACCGCTGATTCCTCCATTTGGTTTCGGCCCAAACCGGACCATTCTCTTAGGAGCTGCACAACGACTTGAACGCTCTCTGACCCTAACCCTAACCCTAACCCTAACCCTAACCCTAACCCTAACGACACGGTGCTTCTTAAGAGGTCGTGCGCGTCGCTGCCGACGCATCTCGCGTGTATGGTGTATTTGCAGTGTATTTCGGCGGGGGCGCGCATTAAAAGAACATTGAGGCAATACACACGTCCTCGAGCGCCCGAGGACACGAACCAAGCTGCACCTCCTCTCACTAGTTATTGTGGGCTCTTTCCTTTCTATACTTCCTCGCTTTCACCGCGTTTTGATGCAGGGAGGGCGGGCCCCTGTTCTTTGAGCCTTGGGGACGACCACGGCCTTGACCACGGCCTCGCTGCAGGGAAGCAGCAACGCGCGGCATTGGTGGCACAGAGATCCCTACCGGGTGCCGGCAGTGGTAGGCGCACCGCCGCTCTCTCCGCTGCCGCCTCCGCCGCTGCCGCCTCGGAGATGCCAGGGCCTTCAAAAGTAGTCGAACTTGTGAAATTTTCAGTGAAACGGGGGCGGCCGCCCCCGTTTCATGTGAAATTCACATGAATTCACATGTGAAAGTGAAAGTGTGAAATTTCACTCACGAACCCTGACAAAGCCACAAACTGGGATTCAAACTCTCTCTCTCGAGAGAGAGAGTCGAGTGAGGTCTAGAGCTCTACCTCGAGGTACGTCCTTACACCTTAGTGTGCTTAGACCTTACGCGTACGATAATCGTAAACGATCGATCATGAGTTATATGTGTCGGGCGACTGAAATGAGATTTGAAGATTTTCACGTCGTGGCGCCTCGGCGCTCGTGCCTATCGGCGCTGCCTCCGAAGCGGGACTCAAAGCGCTGGATCTCGGCCTCGATAGCCTCGCTCTCCAGCCTGTCCTCCGCGAGTGCCTCCGCGCCGGTGGCGCGAGCCTGCCGCCTCTCCTCCTCGTCAAAGTACCAGAGAGTCACCGCCAGCCGGTCGGCGTGCGACGGCAGTACCTACGATTGGCACTCCCAAAGAGGGCGTCACAGAGAGAGCCGGGCTCGCCGCGAGCAGCTGGTCCGGTAGGGTCCGCGGTCAGCCTCGCCTCGTGCGGGACTCGGTAGTCGGCGAAGAAGAGGACGACTCGGTCCGCAAGGGGCTGCACATCGGCCAGAGGTGGCCGGCCTGGAGGCGCAAAGGGCTCGAACAGGCGCAGCTCGCCTCCATCTCCCGGCTGCCAGTCGCAATTGAGGTACAGAATCGCGGTGAGGCGGCGACCATTGCATCGGTTGCCGCTCCCTGCGTCGCAGGAGTTGTCGCAGTGGCGGACGTAGCGCGCGCCCCCGCCCGGATAGCACGCCACCATAGCGTTGGACCTTCCAGTGATGCCCTGCAGCTGTTGGAGCCTCGGCTTGAGCTGATCAATGAGAGTATCCACGCGGAGAAGGTAGGAGGGCAGCGCGCCCTGCTCGGCCTCTTCGCCGTTAAACCAGCTGACAAGGTCGCCGCGCACGGCACTGTGCGTGTACGATGTCATGGCGCCGCTCCTTCCGCCCGCGAGCCGCGATGCCTTGAGCCTGCCCGCCTGTCGAAGCGCGCAAACCTCCCTCTGAAGCGCAGCGCACCTTGACTCGCCGAGCATTCCGTCCACGACACAGTGGTTGCTGTCGTGAAGCTGCCTTGCGATGTCATCGAGCGCCTGGTCAGTGATCCACCACCAGTACGAGTCTAGCGGCGCGAGCCTGGCGGCAAATGAGAGCGCCTGCAGGAGAGTGCTCATCCCCGCGAGCGGCGGCGCCAATGGGTCACGGCTCGTGAAGACCCACTTGCTGCCCGCCTTCCTCTGCACGAGAGCGAGGCCCACGGCATCGGTTGCAATCGCATCACTGCGCAAGGAATCGGCCGGCGGGGTCGCTTTCTTTCGGTTGGCCGCGCGCTCCTTCTTCTTGTTGCCCATTTGCCTCAACGGGGGGGCACGCGCGTGATGATTGCGGTTGGCTGATTCGTTACAAGTGGCCCGATTTTTCTTCTTTCTCTTTGGCTCGGCGCGCGCGGTGTCGAGACTCGCAACAAAAAGAAATCGAGAACAAAGAATTTATTGCGTCGGCCTAATAAGACACCCGGTGGCGCGACGTCTTACTTACATACAGACTCCACTGTGCGGACTGCGTGGGGCCCAGTCCGAGCCAGACCTGAGCGCTGCCGAGCACTCCGAGGCTGGGGTGCCAGCCACCGCATCAGGATGATGTACGAAATTGGGTTTGTTTTTTCTGATGTTGTTTATCTTAGGCAAAGAACAGTCATACACCTACTCGGATTGAAAGAAAGAAAACATCAACGCAAAGGAGGGATGGGAGGACGGATTGGACACCAACGCGGCAACGGCCAAAGGGTGTTTTTTGCCACGGCCAGCTATCAGTAGGCGGGGGGGGGTGGTCTCGAGGTGGGTTCGTACCATACCATACCCCGCAAAAAGTCCGAACCCAAGGGTGCGTTCAGAGTTGTCGTTCAGCTCAGGTCGGTTTTGACATTGCTAGCCTCTGGGTCCATTCTCCACACGTTCGTATGCCGATCCTCCCTTTCGTCTGGCTCGGCGCTGGTGCGGTCGTGAGGCCAGCTTTGCGGAGTCACACGGACACGCCGCTGAGGAGCTCCGTTACAATGAAGCCCATCTGGTACGGTGGTGACGACTATGGCTCGGCAGAGGCCACCGGTCACGGCGCCCGTCAGAGTGACGCGGCCCAGAGCGGCCCTCAGGTCGTCTGGACGTTGAGCGGCTACGCTGGCGTGCGGGGCTTCTTCGAAGTGGCAGACTTTGGCCGAGCATCAGGTGGCAGGGAGCGTCTCTTGGACTGGCTCGAGCACGACTACAAGATCGATCAGCAGGTGCAGAGGCTCGCGGCAGATGCGGCTGCGATGGGCGAGTCTGCGAGCAGCGTCTACCACCAGGACTACCGACACCTGCCGTACAAGCTCCGCAACGGCGAGATGCAGGTGCTCAGCCGCTGGAACATGGCGCAGCAAAAGCTGACGGTGTCGCGCGTGCAGTGCGCCGTGCGCGTGGCGGCAAGCGGCGCGGCGACGCTCACGTCTTGTGGCAAGGGCCCGACGCTCTGGCGCGCGTGGGGCGGGCCGTGGAACGCCCTCCACAGGGAGGAGAGGCGCGCGCCGCTAGGCGCAGAATATAGCAGGCGCTCGAGCGTCGCTGGATATCCCCGCTCTTCGCCCGTAGGCGCGTGCTCTCCGACGGCGACCAGCTCAGCCTCGATTGGCAGGAGCCGGAGGCGGCCATCTTCACCTGCCAGGTGGAGGGCGCGGCGCAGCAGCCGTATGAGGGGCATGCGTGGCAGCAGGGGCAGCATGCGCAGCGGGGAGCGGCGTTTGGGCTGCCGGAGGGCTGGGTTGCAGACGTTGATCAGGCGTCGGGCGACACATACTACTACAACGAGTACACGGGATTGTCTCAGTGGGAGCCGCCGCAGTACCGGTAGCCGCTATAGCAGCATCCGAAGGCGGCGGGGCGCTCTATTTTTTCTCTTCGTTCAAGCGCCAAATCAAGTTGCGGACCACACAGACTAGCACACAGGCGACAGGGTGGGTCAGGGAGACCAAATCCAAAATGGTCGGCGGCGGCGGCGGCGGCGGCCCCCTGGCGGGCGGCGGCGGCGGCGGCCGCCGCCCCGTTGCTCCGCTCCACCCTGGAGATTCCTCGCTCTCTCTTCCTGCCGCGTTCCTCCTCGGGACCTCCCCTCTCCGCCCGTTTGTATTTCTCGAAATTCAAGTCCCCGCCAACCGCTTCCGTCAAACCGTAAAATGGTGGGGCGTCTCCCCTCCCGCCGCGCGCGCCCCGGCGCCCCAAATCGCGCTCCGCACGCGCCCCTGACGACCTCCCTCCTCCCCGTGTCCGCAGCGCGAGTGCATCACTCTCCACCTCGGCCAGGCCGGCATCCAGACCGGCAACGCGTGCTGGGAGCTCTTCTGCCTCGAGCACGGCATCCAGCCCGATGGCCAGATGCCCTCCGACAAGACGATCGGCGGCGGCGATGACGCCTTCAACACCTTCTTCTCCGAGACCGGCTCCGGCAAGCACGTGCCCCGCACGGTCTTCATCGACCTCGAGCCGACCGTCATCGGCGCGTCCCCCTCCTCTCTCCTCTCCCTCCCCTGAGCTCACAAGCCCCTCCGCCTCCTCTGCCCCTACAGACGAGGTCCGCACGGGCACGTACCGCCAGCTCTACCACCCCGAGCAGCTCATCTCGGGCAAGGAGGACGCCGCCAACAACTACGCACGCGGCCACTGTGAGCTCCCCCCCCCACCCGCCCCCACCCCAGCCCCGACCCCCTCTCGCTATTGCGCCGGACGATCCCTCCCGCTACCGCGCCCGCCGACCCCCTCCCCCTACCGCGCCCGCCCCGCCCCCGCGACGCCCTGCCCCCTAACCGCCCTCGCGCGCGCATCTGCCCTTCCACTTCCTCACCGCCCCCTTCCGGCCGCGCAGACACGGTCGGCAAGGAGATCGTCGACCTCGTCCTCGACCGCATCCGCAAGCTCGCCGACAACTGCACCGGCCTGCAGGGCTTCTTCGCCTTCAACGCCATCGGCGGCGGCACCGGCTCCGGCCTGGGCGCCCTCCTCCTCGAGCGGCTCTCGGTCGACTACGGCCGCAAGTCCAAGGTCTCCTTCACCATCTACCCGGCGCCCCAGGTCTCGACCGCCGTCGTCGAGCCGTACAACTGCGTCCTCTCGACGCACACGCTGCTCGAGCATACGGACGTCACCTTCATGGTCGACAACGAGGCGCTGTACGACATCTGCCGCCGCAACCTCGACATCGAGCGGCCGACGTACACCAACCTCAACCGGCTCACCGCCCAGATCATCTCGTCGATGACCGCCTCGCTCCGCTTCGACGGCGCGCTCAACGTCGACCTCACCGAGTTCCAGACGAACCTGGTCCCGTACCCGCGCATCCACCTGGCGGTCGCCTCGTTCGCGCCCATCATCTCGGCCGAGAAGGCGTACCACGAGCAGCTCTCCGTCGGCGAGATCACCAACGCCGTCTTCGAGCCCGCCTCGATGCTCTGCAAGGTCGACCCGCGCCACGGCAAGTACATGGCCTGCTGCCTCATGTACCGCGGCGACGTGGTGCCCAAGGACGTCAACTCGGCGGTCGCCACCATCAAGACGAAGCGCACGATCCAGTTCGTCGACTGGTGCCCGACCGGCTTCAAGTGCGGCAGTGAGTTGCCGCCCCCCGCCTCCAACCCAGCGCGGGCATCCCCCTGCCCACCGAGCCGTTTATCCCTCCCCTTCCTAGCCGGAGCCGCTTTCAGGTGCCCTCCCCCCCCCCCCCCCCCTCCCTCCCCGCGCAGTCAACTACCAGCCGCCCACGGTCGTGCCGGGCGGCGACCTCGCCAAGGTGATGCGCGCCGTCACGATGATGTCCAACACGACCTGCATCGCCGAGATCTACTCGCGCATCGACCACAAGTTCGACCTCATGTACGCCAAGCGCGCCTTCGTGCACTGGTACGTCGGCGAGGGCATGGAGGAGGGCGAGTTCTCCGAGGCGCGCGAGGACATGGCCGCCCTCGAGAAGGACTACGAGGAGGTCGGCGCCGACTCGGCCGAGGGCGACGGCGAGGAGGAGGAGTACTAGAGCTGTTCCTCCTCCTCCGCCGCGCTCGGGCGCGCGATAGCCGCAGCAGGAGGGCGCGCGCCCCGAGGCGGCCTAGGCGCGTTAGGTTTGGCACTGGTTGGGTAGTAGTCTAAGTTCTGAGCCTCGAGGCTGGACGGGTCTAAGTGTGGCTAGCCACGCTGGAGTGCTTGCGCGGTCTAAGATCAGCGGGAGCCTCTTACATCGGCTAAGTCGGCCGTGGCACGGCCTGGGGCCAGGAGGCTCCCACCGTGATCAACGATACGGCGCAGCCCCCAAATTTTCTTCGCCTGCGGAGGGCGATGGATCCTCTTCATGCTTAGCAATCGCCGCCTCAGCATCCTCCTCTTCCGATTTTCGTTGCTGCTCCTTCATTCTTGAGCGACGTCTAGCCAAACAGTTCTCACATGACACGAAGCTCCTCAAGCTTAATCAAACGCGTGACGGTGAAGCCTGTGTGTGCTGGTCCTCTTTGAACGATCCGCGCGTGAGGTAGCATAGGGCCTTGTTGGCAGCAGCCAGCTTGTTGCGCTGCTTCGTTGCGATGAGCTGATTGGGATCGCAGAAGTGCATGCCAAGCACCGCCACGATCTTGAAGCAGGACACATCGCAACCGCATCGTCCGCACTGCCATCGGCATGCCGCGCCCGCC